GGTCAGGGCCCTCACCCTCCCTTCCCTTCTCCCAGAGCCCCCGTCTCACACCTTCAGCATAATCATGGTCATCGCCGGGGTCCTGGTACTCCTGGGAGCTGTGGCTGCAGCTGTGAATTGGTGGTGGATGAAGCACTCAGGTGGGCAGGGGTGGGGTCTGAGTGTCTTGTCTCCATGGGGGTTCAAGCCCAGGGAGACGTGTGTCCCGCCTCATTCATGGGAAGCACTATCCCCACGGTGTGATGGCCAGTGTGGGATTCTGTGGGAAAATGAGGGACCCACTTATCACCTGATGATGCTGGTGGTGGGGACCCTGTTCCCAGCAGTCCCAGGTCAGAGGGCAGGTCCCTGCTGAGCACAGACCTCCAGGAGGGCGGTGGGTCCAGTCCCCACACATGCACTTCTCTCAGGTTTCCTGTTCCTGCTCTGGGTCTACAGGGTTCGGGAAACTTCTCTGGGGCCCAAGACTAGGGCTTCCTTTAGGACCTCATGGCCCTGCCTCCTCCCTGGTGTCTCACGGGATGTTTTCTTCCCGCAGGTGGGAAAGGAGGGAGCTACGCTCAGGCTGCCAGTGAGTATGGGGGGTGACCCCTGAGACCCTGTGACAGTGCAGACAGGAGCCATGCCCCTCCCCCACGTCGCCCATAGTTCCTCCTAGTCTCCTGCCCTGAGGCTCTGACCCCATCCTGTTGTGTGTCCCCCAGGCAGTGACAGCTCCCAGGGCTCTGATGTGACTCTCTCGGCTTCTAGAAATGAGACCCTGCCATGGGGAGGGATGGGCAGAGGGGAGGACTGGGTGGTGGGGAGTCTGAGGGACACTGTGAGCATGAAGTGGACTCTGAGAATGTCACCAGTTACAGCCACTGACCTGACTCTGTTCATGATGCTTGTCCTCCACAGCGTGAGGCAGCTGCCTTGTGGGGACCGAGTGATGGACGATGTGTTCACGCTTCCACTTCCTGACTCAAGGACCTCTGATTGGGGGACTGGCCAGCCCTGCTCCCTAGTCTTTCCTGTCAGCAGAAGTGGGCTGGGCCCTCCGGATTCCTGTCTTTGCTTCCTGGGTCTGTGAGCTGCAACTTCCTGCTCCGTATTGAAATGAGACTGTGGATTGACCTGTTTTTGGGGGGTTTTTTGGTGTTTTTTTTTTTTACTATTTTTATTCATTTCAGAGAGGAAGGGAGAGGGAGAGATAGATAGAAACATCACTGATGAGAAAGACTCATTGATTGGTTGCTTCCTGCACGCCCCCTCCAGGGCAAGCCTGCACGTGCCCTGACTGGGAATCGAACCCAGGACCTCTTGGTCCATGGGGCAACGATCAACCCACTGAGCCACCACAGCCGGGCTGACATGGTGTTTTAATTCTTGCCGTGACTGGTGACGGGT